GTTAACAAAAATGATTTCATACTTATTGATAACAATTTCTTTCATTTATCCCGAATAGCACAAGCAGAAATCGTATTCAGAACAACCGCCCATGATTTCGAGTTTACTTTAAAAGATTGTCGCATGATCTTTGACATGTGCTTATAAAAAATTTAGCTTATGTTGATAAGTGAAGATGATTATTTTTGTGAAAAGATAAGAAAACAAAATAAAATAAGTTTTCAGAGCTTTAATTTGGTTCAGTCGTCAGTGAAACGTTTAAGTTTGAACATTTATTAAAATGTGGTAATATATTTAATTATTTACTTAGCTTTTTTAATGTTGTGGATGTTTATTTCAGGATAAAAATATCATTGATTTGTTCATTGTTGCTTGGTTTGAGTGTAACTTCTGTTTCTGGAAATGAGATTATAAAATGTAGAAATGGAACCTCCGTTTACGTATGTAATATTGATGAATCGATTTATACAAAAGGAATAAGAATCTCAGGAGAATAACTTTCATTATCTGCTGATTAAAATATTTCTTCCGATCCAACAAAGTTGTGTTTGAAGCAATTTTATTCTTCACTTAAATATAAAATTTATTTTACTGCACAAAAATGTTATTTTACAGATACATTTGAATAAATTTAATTAGCTTCTGAATGTTTATGACTGCCAATGACACTAATTTGATGGTTTGATAATATCTGGATGTATTTGATATGAAACAATGAATAATTTCACGTGATATATCATGAAATTATCTTTCTATCTCTTTTCTTCCATCGCCAGGATTATTTAATTGACTAATACAAGTTCTTTCTTTCTCTTGTTGTGTTTCTTATTCATGTTTACTTCCAAACAGGAAAATACTTTTTATCTTCCTTCCCAATCTTGACCTACATACATTTTCAAATCATTGATCTTTATCAGAAGATTTGTCTGCGTATAAAGCGAAATAAAGTTATTATTCCTAAATAAGTTTTGAATGTTATGCTTCGTGAATTTTTCTAATTTCTGAGACCGCTTTAAACGATTGTGGATTGTTAGTCTGAATCCTTCTAAACATGAAACGGAAAATGTTGACTTAAAAATGAATTTGTTGATTCAAATGAGAATAAAAACATTTATGAAATCGTTTCCAATTATATAATACAAATTGGACATTTAATCTGAAATTAATTAACAGTTTTATTCTAAAGTATGTTCTTTTGTAAATTAATTTTCTTGTTCAATTAGAAGACAAGTAAAAGATGGAGAAGAATTTCTAAATTTCTACACGATAACTCAAATGATGATAACTCACAAATGAATTCTACGGATCACTTAACGAACTGCTCGTTCATGTTCACTCTTCCAAGAAACATCAAAAGACTTCCGAAGCTTTCATTTGAAAATGTATGCAAATTTTTTTGTTCTGATGCATTCGTCGAAATGCCGCGATAAAAATAAATTCATCACATTGAACAGAAGAAACTATAATTAAAATTATACCAATCAATGCTTCTGCATGTTATTTTAACTTAACGTTGAAATTTATTGAGATAATCTTGAGATTGATTTGCGCAAATGTAAATGCAAATTATAATAATAGATTGCAAGTGAATGCAAGGAAAATAAAATTCACAGGCAGGAACAATGCAACAGTTGAAGTAGAAAGAAGAACTTAAAATTTATCGCAGATTAGATTTGTGATGATAGAGTGCGTATTTTTGAGCTCAAACATGTCTTAAGTTAATACCATTTTGAGTGAAAGAATAAGTCGTAACAAAGATGAGTGCGAGTTATTTTGTTTTCAGTCTTTTACGGAAGAACAAAACATGGCGAGACTTTAAAAAGTGCAATTTCTAGGAAAAGGAAGTTTATGAAACATTTTTGCAATAAAAATTGTCGGCAAATCTGAGTAAATTTAAAAGCAAAGCCGACACATTCGATTCAATCAAAGCTGAAAAAATTTGCATGATTTATGACGATAATAAATTCTTTTCGTTTGTATTTTTGAATATTGAAATGCACGACGTTGAATTTTGTGTTAAAAATTATGTTAGCGCCTTTTCGAATAAAAATTCTGAGCTCTCGTAACTTTCTCTGTTTGTTTGTTCTAAATTAGAAAATCAAAAAGAAGAATAAAAGCAAAACGATTTAAACATGTATCGTTTGATTCATTCGTTTACCTACCAAAATTCTGCTTTACGCTCTAAGTACAAGGTAGATAAGTTGTAAGTCAATTTGAAATTTAAATTTAAAGTTTTTAAGTCAATCGTTGTCTCTTAATTTTCTAAGAACTGAATAATAAAAATCGATTTCGAGACAGAATTCAATTGAATTGATCGTACATTATCGCAAAGGAAATACAATTATTCAAATGGCGCTGAAGTTTTTCCTTTTTATTCCTTTTTCTTATTTTCGAGAGAAGTTTGGAAGTAAAAAGACTTCAATGGCAATTAAAGCGACGAAACTTTTAGGTTTATGCTTCAAGAGCGAAATATTATAAGTCGATTATCAACAAAGGATGAATGCCAGACGCTTAAAAATCTTAGTAATATTACGAAATTCATTTATTATGCAACGAATATCACCGGAATATATAAAAATGTTACAAATACTCGACACTGTCGACGCTTTACCACCCATGCACACTGCTTTTTTATTCATAAAACATCGACAAAGTGTGAGATATGCGTTTCTTGCTTGTTGTTTGATTATGTGCTTACTTAATAAAAGAACATTTTTTCACAATTTTTTTTATTTTAACTTTTCCCTGTTAGAATTTACGAGTGCCATGTTTTATTGCTTTTAAACAGACTAATTAAAATTCTTGTCAGGCGATATTAATTCTTGTTATAAAGTTTGATTCTAAACAATTTAAAACCCTTAAAAATGATGAATGAATGTTGGAAAGAGTTGGAAGGTCATCACATCCTAGAAGGAAATGCATCCTTACAGGAAGCTTTATAATAAATTTTGAATTTTTGATTTAACTAGACATAGAAAGTTTTATGATAATTAAAGATTGTTACGACCTCCCGCAGCTTTACTTCTAAGCACTTCATTGCATTCTATAAAAGCACCATAATAATTTATTACTCAAAGAATCTGACGTGATGAATTTTAATCTTCAATCGTTGTTGAAAAAAATTTAACAGATCTCGTGATCGTTTCATAGCTTGTGGTGAGTTGCTAAAAATGTTTATATCCCAAAATAAGCAGGAATGAATTTTACAAATCTTTCTCGAATGATTTTCCACTTTTTATATTTATTTCTATAAATCAAAAATAAATCCAAAAGTATTTTTCTAATATTTATAATGATTTGAACTTTCAACTTAAGCACCAAAACAAAAACTATGAGTCATAATTGTGCTGAATTTTAAACAATAGCAACATTATGCTTTCCATACACAAAATATAAGTTGAATTTGAATCTTTTGCTAATCATCAAGCATCATGTAAGTATGAATAAGAAAGAGAAATAAAAAACCAATTATTAAACTTCAAGTCAATTAAGTCTGATGATTAATGAATGTTGAAATATTTATTCGAGACGAACAATCGAAACATAATAAAAATCAGAAACTCAATCTGCCCCATATTATCACCTCAATTCTTACATATATAACAGAGGGTTCATTAACAAGATATTTGTTAGATGCAAGTTATAACTTGTGAACTTTAACAGTTCATTTTCTTCTTTTATTTACAGAAGCAACTTAAAGATTTAGAGATTTAATATTTACAATTTAAGGAATGTTTCGAAAAATGTTATTGTCGCTCATTATAAATCACAACGTGTTTTTCATCTTAAGTAAGGAATAATAAAAGCTTCTCGTAGTTCATTTTGTCTTTCACTCAAAGCCTGTAACTTATTGCAGATGTAGAGAGATAAATGGTTTCGAGGAAATTAAAACAGAAGTTTTTTCTTTTTTCACTAATAAGCGTTAAAGTTATTTAAATTGGTCGTAGGGATACAAATCTGTGACTGATCAGTGAATGTCACGGTTCAATTTTAAAAACCTTTATACCCCTTACGCGCCAAAAAATCGGAATCAACAAAAAGAGCTTCAACCATAAGAAATAAACAAATTTAATATTAAATCGCGTTGTACTACCAAGAATTCACACTAAATTGAAACATAATGGCAAACAAATTCACTCCACTTTCAACAGGATGTATCAAGGTAAGATTTCCTATTTAAATTGCGTTTTTCTTTTATTTCACAAGTTTTGAAAATAACCAAAGTTACCAAAGTTGTGAAATTTACTTTAATAAACAAAACTGAACAATAAAATTATACCAAAGTTATAAATCATTTGATAAATTTTATTAAATTACAGCGAATCCTCTTGGGTGAAGAATTGGGGAGCACTCCATTCGTTCTCCAGGTGATTGATTCAAGACGTGTGAACCAGCAAAAGTCTGATTTAAACAGATACAGATTATTAATTTCTGATGGTGTTCATATTGCATCATTCGCTATGTTGGCTATTGATTTGAATCCAATCTATGAATCTGGTCAACTATCAAAGAACACAATAATTCGAGTCACGAAACATAATTGCAGCGTCGTATCTCGTGGGAGTGTCGGTTCTGACCGGTAAATTTGGTTTTACTTTTTTCATAAGTAGAATAATAATAATTCACTAAATTTCAGACGAGTTCTTGTCCTCATGGGTATAGACATTCTTCATTCCGGTGAGGAAGTTGGCTCTAAAATCGGAAATCCAGATTTATACGATCCCAAGGGTTCGACATTGAATGCTGCTGGAACACAAAAGGAAAATTACAATGACAATGCAGGAGCTTCATCTTATAATAACCAAAGTAACGCCTATCAAAAACGAGAAAACTCTTATGGAAATCAAAGTATGAACGCTTCGTCTTCAAATTTGAATGAACATCTCACAATGCCAATCGATTCGTTGAGCCCTTATCAAAACAAATGGGTGATTAAAGCTCGCGTTACTGCAAAATCTCAGGTTCGAACATGGTCGAATCAAAAAGGCGAAGGAAAATTATTTAACTTCGATATTTGTGATGAATCTGGAGAAATTCGTGTCACAGGATTTCGTGATCAAGTCGACAAATATTATGACATGATTGAAGTTGACAAAGTTTATTACATCACAAAATGTCAACTGAAACCAGCAAACAAACAATATTCAAAATTGCGGAACGATTACGAGATGACGATGGGAAATGAAACTGTTATTCAGGAATGTGACGATTTAACTCACATTCCAGCCATCAAATACGATTTTGTGTCAATCAGCGACATTGCAGCAAAAGAAGCAGGAGCATTTGTTGATGTTATTGCAGTTTGTAAAGAAGCAAGTGATCTCGTCAATTTGACATCTCGAGCCGGAAAAGATTTGACAAAGCGTGAAGTAACTTTGGTCGATCAAAGTGGAGCTTCAATTGTGTTGACGCTTTGGGGCGAAGAAGCCAAAAACTTCCAAGGGTATGAGCAGCCAGTCGTTTTACTGAAAGGTGCCAAAATTGGCGAATTTGGAGGTGGCAAAACTCTTGGCGGGAATGCAATGAAGCTGAATCCTGACATTCCTGAAGGTCACAAACTTCGTGGATGGGTCGACAATGGTGGAATGGAAGGAGAAGTTAAACAACTGTCAATGCGTACTCAAGGAAACTTTAACACCGAATGGATGACATTCCATGAAGCAAAATTACGCAACTTGGGAGCTGGTGACAAACCAGACTATTATCAAGTCAAAGGATTCATTCACAATATTCGCTCATCAAACGCTTATTACAAGGCTTGCATCAACACTGGATGTAACAAGAAAGTCATTGATCAAGAGAACGGAACCTATCGATGCGAGAAATGCAACGTTGAAAGTTCGGAATTCAAATATCGTTTGCTGGTCAATGTGAGTTCTCATTTTTTGTTATTTTAAAGTAAACAATTTTAATTATTAATTTTTTTAAGATGTTGGTTGGTGATTGGACATCAAATCGTTGGGTGACCGTTTTTGCTGAAGTTGCTGAAGAACTATTTGGAAAAACGTCACAAGAAATTGGAACAATGCTTGAGTTCAATAAGGAAGAAGCTGATGCCATTTTCAATGATCTTGCATTCCAACAGAAAGTCTTCAAGTTAAGAACCAAAGTTGAAACTTATCAAGATGTACCAAAAAATAAAGTGACAGTCTTATCAATATCCGAGCCCAACTACAAGGATTACAATAAGCAACTTTTGGCAAACATTCAGCGTCTCACTGGAATTCACACAAATAATTAAAAAACTTTCACATGTATTTGATTAAAAAATGAAAAGAAAATGTTAATAACATTTTTATTATTTAATAAATATTTCCAATAAAATGATTTTTCGCTTACAAAGATAATTAAAAGTGTTTGAAGCATTTTAATTTTATTCAAAGAAGTTTATTCTGAAATCTTTCCAGGATTAATGTAAACTCGAACATTTAAAGCATGACGCAGACCTTGAGATTCTTTCTCTGGTGTTGAAGTGTGCACATTGCTGTAAGTAAATTGCATGGTGAATCCAGTAATGATGTCGTCATCTTTCTTAAGACCATCACAAGGAATTACATTCAGTTTAATTTCGACTTTATTTGCCTTGCGCCATATAATGAATCTTGGATCTTGACGATCACCTTGAATATCGTCATCAAACTCGGCAGAATCATCTCGTTGATTAACAACAAATGAACTGTCAGGAAGTTCAATTTTACCGGTGATTTTACAATCAACCATTCGAGGATCTTCAATCAATGATGGTCGCATGATTGAAGGTGTCAAAGACGATTTAGTCGCAATGCTTACACTTTTCTGTAAATATATTGATTAAATTTTATCATTCATCGTTGTCTTTAATTCTACTTACATCAAAAGTTTTTCGCATTTCTTCTATCGCCATTTTCTCTTCATCTTCCGTTGGTAAATCCATGATTGTGATTGTCATGTCATTTATAGTTGGATTGATAATCTTTAAAATGATTGAAGCACTTTCACCAATTTTAAACGGATCAGCTTTGACAAAGCGAACTTCTGGAACATGATTGCTAGCAAACAATTGAATGCGATATTTGATTGAACTTGGATTGTATTCTGGTTTAATGACGTTGTGTTCACAATGACGACATCTTAAGGAACGTTTGATCGAAAGGTTCTTATGCTGAGGATACAAATGTTTAACTGTTTCCGGTTGATTAGCAGGCTGAGCCAATCGCTGCTTTATTGTCGTAACTGCAAGAATTTTGATAAGTAAACAAAATAAAAATTATTTTAAAACTTACTGTTCTTGAGATTAACTGGTTTAGTAAATATTTCATCAGGAAGATCTTCAACTTCTGATGTCGCTATTGATGGAGTAATATTAGTAGGTTTGGGCTTCGCTTTCGGAGCTGATTTATCGAATCCTATTTGACGACGAATCGATGCCACAGTCAAACCTGTTCGATCCTTTAATAAATAAAAAAATGTAATTAAACATTTAAATCAATGGACATGAAAAACTTACCGTCATGCTTGGGAACTTTGAAGTTTTTACAGTTTTTCTTCGAAGATAATCTTGCTTTTCTTCTTTATCGCACAAAACGACAGCTTGAAAATGTTCAGATAGAAGTTGAAAGCGAGTGCTGTGAAAATATTCTTGTTCCGGCCATGAACAAGTCTGGGAAGTTTGATCACTTATTCCCACATCACGAGATGTCCATCTACATGCCAAGCAGGCCAGGTAGTACATCTTTTTAGTTACCATCTTATTTGAAGCGGAACCTTCATCAGTTTCATCTCCTCCTTCACCTTTGGTAGACATCGGAACCTGAATTGAAGTGGCTCGCGCTGAGAGAGTTGCTTGACATGATGGGCAATCAAAACAAGTGTTGCATTTGTTCTTTCTTAACTTAGCTTCAGATGAAGGAATATTTTCCAAACAATTGGAACAGAAATGAGAATCAACCTGTAAATAGAAAATGAGTCATAATTTTTGGAGTTTACTTAACTCTCTTCATTACTCACTTCATGATGACAACAGAATGCGCATCTTAAATTCAAACAGTGTCGGCAGAAGTAAAGCTTAGTTAACGGGCTCAAAACACCGCATAAACATGCGTATTCTACTATTTTTTTAGATAGAAAGAAATCCATTCCTAAAGGGAAGGGGGTTAAAAACTAAATACATATTGCAAAACGGGGTTACTCACTTTCACTATTTTTTGAATATTTATTGAACGTTGAAAAATATGAAAAATATAATTTAAAACAATTTCAAAATAATTTTTATTTTCCTGATTATAATTGATAAAAAATAATTGTTTTATTATGATTTTCCCTGATTTTTAATGACAAGAAGCCATGTTTGCCATTCTTCTTTAAACCCGGTTTTTTTAAACATTTCAACAGATTTGACATTTTCCGAAACAATTGTTGCATTGATGTCGCAATCATCTTCTTCAGCAATTTTCTTTGAAATGGCTTTCGCAACGATAGAACCGTATCCTTTTCGTAGATGATTACTATCGACTTGAAGCACACCTAACGCACCACTATCATGACGTAAACACCATGCTACTAATCTGTTCATTTCATCAAACAATCCAATGCTTGTATTATTTTTGATGACATGAGAAATATATTTTTCGCTTCCTTCAGATTTATGACTCCATGCTGAATTCACCTGACTTACGTTATCTTGTGATAAAGAGTCGATCGTAAAGTTTGTTGGCAAGCTTCAGAAGAGAGTGAAGTGTTAATTGCTAATTACTTACTTGTAATTGACACCCTCCCTTTTTTAATTAAACTTACGTTATTTTCAAATTCAAAGCTTCCATCTTTGGCAGCATGTAGCAGATTAAATCAGCACGCTCAATTGCACTCAAATTTTGGCTATTAATAACATCGTAAACAATGGGAAGAAAAATTCTTCTGATGTCATACATTTTGATTGTGGTTGAGAAGTCAAGTAGAGCTATGCAATTTTTCAGAGTTTCATTTAATGAATGATCTAATGTATCGAAAAACACATAACTCTCAGCTTCAAGAGTTTGAAACTGAAATAAATTTAAATTATCGTGTCAATATTAAATTACTTGAGAAAAGTAATAAAGTTACAATAGCTACAAATGCTCCATCACGTTTCCAATCATCAGAAAGCACATACAGCTTCAAACAATTCTGAAGTTCAGGAAACTTTCTAAATCTACTAAGCAATGCCGAAAATATAGAAAAAGTCCCAGAATGTTCATGACTCTTTCCTTGATAAATATCCTTCAACACTTCAATATTCTTAACAGCTATTTCACGAGCTGCTAATTCAATTGACATTTTCAGTTGCTCTTTCGTTCAAATTAAAGAATCAACTGATTTTCATATGAAAAAATAAACTCTTTATAAGACAATGCTTAATTTTGGCAAAGTACTTGTCACTTATCACCATACTGACATGAAATGTTCTTGTCAAAATACAATATGTTTATTAAACACTGAGTACGAACAGTGAACACTTTTATAACTTATTACTTTAATTCTTATTATTACTAATTACGTGTTTCAAAACAGTTTAAAGATACTTTATGTTTATATCAATCTTAGTTAGATATCGTTATTTGTTCTAAGATTAAATAGGGTGAACAGATAATTCTGAACACAGTTGCAAAATGGAGAGTACAAAACTTTTTGGAAAAGTAATTGTCTGTTTATCCTAATATTTGAATAAATGACACACGTGTTTATCACACATTTGAATTTTATGATCCTAACCAAAAGGAAACATTATCTCTTAAATAATAGCACTTTTATCTTCTTTATTTTGACAATGATTTATTTGACAAAATTTTAAGTTACATGGAAAAGACAATCAAAACAATATTAAAAAAGTTCAAAGGAGCTAGATCCACTATTTTTTCTTCTCATGATTTTCTTCTGAATTTTCGAAAGAGTATTTCCTTTCTTTCTGGGTAGTTTAGTTGATTTTCTTAAAATTTTCTGCTTTCTGTTGCTGTTACCTGACCTATCACAAGATGAATTATTTCGTTGCCCACCAAATATCCCACCTCCTGCATTATTATTTTCCTGCTGCTTTCCCAAAAAATCGGACAATGGGTTTATGTCTTGTTGTTGACCTCCAAGTAAACCACCTAATGGATTGTTGTTTTGTTGTTGACCTCCAAGTAAACCTCCCAAAGGATTGTTATTTTGTTGTTGACCTCCAAGCAAGCCACCCAATGGTCCATTGCTTTGTGGTTGACCTCCAAGTAAACCTCCTAAAGGATTGTTGTTTTGTTGTTGACCTCCAAATAAACCTCCCAATGGATTATTATTTTGTTGTCCACCTCCAAGTAAACCACCTAATGGATTGTTGTTTTGTTGTTGACCTCCAAGTAAACCTCCCAAAGGATTG